GAGTCCAAAATTCAAGGGAGCATTAGGGAAGCAAAGTGTATGTGTGTGTGCATGTGTGTGTGTGTGTGTGTGTGTGTGTGTGTGTGTGAAAACAGACAAGAAGGTTTACTTGACTTTGCTGAGCAGTATTAGAATTCAGCCTAATGCTGCTGTGCATTCAAAGGAAAAGTGCTTGAGGGCCAGAATCTTTTGACTTGTGTGTAGAAAAAAAATGAATGGAGGGAAAGAGCACACAAAAAGGAGAGAAAGCAGGAATCCATCCAGGGAATAATGACTTAGGCTCTTTTTATAGAGTGGACTGTGTGTGTGTATTTCCGCATTTATTTGTACACATATGGACTACCTCTGCTTTCTTGCGAGCCTCAACAGCCTTCATCAGCATTACATGTTGCCTCCTCCTCTCCCTCTCCTAGAGTGGCAAAAAACAGAGGCACATTAACACGCACACATTGTGCATAAAGCACTCAAGGTCGACTAAATTTAGTAGGTATTAATGTAAAATTGTGATGCACTAAATTCAATAGAGGCACCATACTTGAACAAACACAAAACGATGCTTCACATGTATACACTTTCACATGTATGGTGGAAGCATAAGTGAAGAGTACAATAGTACGATGACAACCAAAAAGCAACACATAGATGCGATACAAAGTAGATGTGATGACAGGCTCAAAAAAGAGAAGCAGCTGGAATCGGTGACGGCGCCTCTAAACTAAAGCTGACACAACAAAAGCAACAAAATGCTGGTTGCCAGAAGTCTTCTGATATGCCACATTGGCGTTACAAGCGAAATAATAAATTCTATTCCATGAGTCAATGCTAATGTTTATTTGACACATCATTCTCATAATATTTGGTGAGGGGACGATAAATACGAATGGGTGGTAAAGGATAGTTTCAAACAGAGCAGTTCTACTTCAGTGGTTTTGGCAGCTTAAGTATTAGCACAGTATGTGACTGCTGAGGATGAGACATCTATGTTGTTCTTTGGTGCATGATACACAGTCTACTGCAAAAGGGCACAGGAATCACCGGTGACTGACTATCATTTCATTTGATCTCTTTAGGTTTCTCGCTGCACCATATCAGGCTGTCATTCCCTCTGTGATCCACCAGAAAGACACAATTGCCACTATTAGAGCTTGCCAAGGACATTTCCAGCACATAGTGACTAAAATGTGCTGTTTGTGAGGATTGTTTTGTCAGGCTAGATGCCAAGCACTTTGCTACAATATTTCTATGTCCTTCTTGGTTTGATTTATCTACAAATGGAAAACTTCAAAAAGGACAACTTCAAAAAGGACATAAAGCCTGTGGCATTCAGCTTTTTCTAGCTTTCCTATTCATCAAAAACACTGACTATGTTGAGGGATACTATGATAACAAACCAAAAGCAATACAATTGCATGTGACAACCGTAAATACCAGGATTATTTCATGTATCTCTATTTGCCCTCCCTCATTGTGCTCCAAGTTAAGGTACAAGGGGCAACAATTGGCTCAGAGTCCACTGTGAAACAGATAGGCAGACCTGTGGATTCAGCTGCAACTGTGTATGAGTGAAGGGGCTACAAGCAAGACAGCCAGGCCAAAATAAAATGCTACACAGAACCATATTTGTCCCCATGGTGGAATTCATTATATTGTTGTTCTACAGTCTATCCAGCTTATTTTCAAGCAACAGTTGTGTTGTACCCTCAACAAACTGGTGGGGAATCTGCTTTGAAGTATCTCCACCATAAAGACAAAATGATTCTTAGTAGCTGTTTTCATTCTTTGTGCAGAGTACAGGAACAGTGAATGACAGAGAGGCTGGGATGGGGCAGGTTAAAGTCCAGCACTCTGTGGACTGCAGAACAGATGCACGGACGAACAGACACAAGCTCAATGTCTGGGCCGAAATTGTCAAGCACTCATGGGTAACACAAGCTACTCCAATACAACAGTTAGACAATGTATGTGATGGATGGAAACTCCTCGAGTGCACTTTCAGACAGTGAGTGTGGATTGGCTAGCAGTCTTTGCAATGCATTCTGAGTAGAAGGGGGGAGGATGGGGGAGGGGGACAGAAGCTGCCTGGCCACCGTGACAGGGTCAGTTGTCCCTCAGGACGAGCAGATGGAGGCAGCATACTGACTCTTTTTCTCTTTTGTTGGTTTTGCTGGAAAGCCATGCAGAAGAATGTAGTATGACAGCAGCCAGTGCTACACTTAATGCATTGCTATGACAACCATAACACAACCAGTTACACGATGCAGGTGTTAGATGTACAAAAATAAACATACCCATACCATATCTAGTCTATGCCTCTCCAACTCCTGGCAGAGAGAGTTGGCAAAATATTATGGAACAGAAGTAATATCCAATACCAATAAGCAAGGGGTTTAATAAAGAGCAATACTGAAGACTTTAATTAAATAGATGTTTGGTAATTAACCACATTTATATATACTCAGACATGCCCGTATTTAAATGCACATAGATGCACAAATACACACACACACTCTCTCTCTCTCTCTTTCTCACACATATACACACCTACACATTCCTATTCAAGTGAAGTTTGAGGTAAATGGTTTTATTCAGCAGTAACTATTACGTTCAAGAGGCTGAGCAAGTTGTAGTGAATGCCTACCTGGTGTTTGAGAATCTCCGCCTGCTGTCTCCTCAACTCTTTCTCCTTGAAGGCAAGAAAGAGAAGATGAGGGAAAAATCAATATGCTTCCATTGTGCCAATATCACAAAAATCACTACAGACTGATGGAATTTCAGCTCATTTCAAAGAGCCGCTCTAATTTTATTGCCAGCTACTCCTTAAGTGGAACAAGCCCCACATCATAGTACACATGAAATAATGTAATCCATGTGAAAGACACGTGTCTGAATATTTATAGTGACTGCAGTCACTGCATTTCACATCTGTTTCAAGGGTTTTATTTAAAATATAAAAATACCTTTATGCGTTTTTCAGCCTCCAATATTTTTGCATTGGCGGCTTCTTGCTTCTTTTTCCGTTTGGCCTATGAATAAAGATTAAGGTCAAGAATCACAGAGACAGACATATATCAATCAGTCTTGGGTGAGGGCTTTGCTGCACTTTAACTGATTGTTTGCAGTTTTCTGGTTTGAGCAAAGATTTTATGCTTCTGAATGCCAGTGAAATTTGTAAAACACAGCGAATGAATAATGTATCTCTTTAACACCTAATTGTGAATATGTTGAAGCCTCCCGTTAAGAGTGGCTTGTCAACCGTGTCAACTCAAAATTGATTTAGTCCTGCTAAAACACTTTGAAGCTCCTACAGTATAATTGTGTGCGCCTCCGTGTGTGTGTGGATGTTCATGCATCTTTGCATGTGTGTTTGTGTGTGTGGAAAACAGCACCTTTTTTTTCTCTCGACCCACTTATGCTAAACTGTTACTGTTGTCTGATGAAAAAAAGACTTTTCTGTCCAATTTAAATAAGGTCTGAAGAGGCAGCAACAGCCATTTTAATATTCAACAGCCGTCAACCAAGACCAATTTAGCATTAGTTCCATGTGGAATTATGCCTAAGAAGACGCAACTCCCTCCAATGCATGCTGCTGTTCAGTAATGAGCTTTAGGAAGATTAAAACACTATAGACTGAGGGGCTGTAGCTATCCAGGAATGTTCTGCTTAATCAGAGGTGCTGTTGGATCAGATTCTGTACCTCCAAAATTTGCTGCGCCCTGAGTTCCTTCTCCATCCGAATCTGCTGAATACGCTTGATCTTTTCCTGTAAAAAAAAACAACATAATCTCTTAATATTTTAGACATCGGAAAACATCCCGAGATACAATCACTTTCCAACCACTCTTTTCCAGTTGGGGTGGGCAAAAAGATACAACAATAAGTTTAGTACTAGAAGTAATGATGGCAATTGAAAAGAGAGCTTTAAAGCATCACAAAATAACCATTCAGCATTTCCTGCAGTGAACACAGGGACTATGTGTGTCAGGACACTTAGATAAGGAGAAAGGGAGGAAAAAGATTTGTCAGCACACATGTAAAAAGCAGACCCACCTGCTGTTTGAGAATCTTGATCTGCTCTTTCTGCTTCCTCCTCTCCTCTGCTGCCATGATAGCTACAAGAGTCAAGTCAATGTTACATTAGTGTCTACAAAAATTGCCTACAAAGTTCCGCTACCAACTGTATTCATTTCTGGGAGAATTACAGTTTTTAAGCGTTATTTATTCAGTAGGTCTCACTGAGATCAAGATGTATTTTACACAAGAGGTCAAGACATTCTGAGAAATAAATCACAACTAAGACAGGTCAAGTCACACAAAACAATAAGAAAACACACAAACACACTCATTAAAACAATGACAAACATTATTAAAAATAATGACATGTCAAATTTTTCACTCATGGGTGTGAGTGACTAACTATAAGTAGAAGCAGTATCTAAAAAATTTTTATGTTGTATCATCAAAAGCTTGAGACTGCAGGTGGTAGGTATGAGACTATGACCAGGTTTTAACCCTCCTGTTTACCCTGTTCATCATCAATTATTAACCTCCATGGAGGCACAGAATTGTGGGTTGACCGGTGATTCTAGGATTTTAGATAGACAGGACATCTTACATATATGCAAATAGTTTTTGGATCAACACTGTCACCAAATTCATGCAATGGATCTGTGCTATTTTAATTATATTATTACTGTTATTTTTGTTATTTTCACAGCTCGAAAAGTTGGATTAAAAATATGTAAAAGTGATGTAATGGTAGGAGCACAGTTTAAAATGGTCTTCTCTGGTTTATATTTATTGGTAAACATACATACATTTCAGATTATAAAACACATCTGGTTATAATTCTGAGTTTAAGTGAGGGCTAACCACACAGTCTTGAGATTTTGATTTGATTTCTCAGCTCTGACTTTGTGTCTAGGAATAAAAAAATGTATAAGCATAATGTTGGAAACCAGCAGCAAAGCAGTAATAAAGATTAGACCAGAAAGAAGATTAAAGCTTGTGCTTTAAAGTGATGAAAATAAATATGTACATACATACAAAGGCTATATAAGCAGCATGAGTGTCCCCAGAGGCCCTGCTGTCTTTATACTTCACCCATTTAGATCAAAGTGGTTTGAAGTGACGGACTGACCAACCCGAAACAACTACCACTACCATCCTTACTGCACTGTTGTTAACAATAAACACACACAAAAAAAACTTGTTGTCACCTTGTTGTTTCCGAGCTTCTTTGGCTGCACGCGCCAGTGCCTGCTTTTCCAGTTTTCTCATCAGTTTCATCTGGGCAGCCTGTCGGGCTATTTCTGCACAGAGCAGGAAGAAAGACATCAGAGAATACCTAAATGCTTCTGTAGCCTGACCTTACACGTTTCACTGAGATATTTCTTTAGGTTTTGTGAAATTAGGGACAAATAGCTACTCAAAACCTTTATTTTCCTAAAAGGACCTAAACTGTAACCCTATCTAGGCCTCTGCTACCTGAATAATGGCTGGCTGATTAAGGGAACACACACTTATGACAAACATATTTCAGGGCTCATTTCCTCTGCTAACCTTGAGCCTCTAATTTGCGCAGAAGTTTGACCTCACTGGGACTGGGGCCCTCAGGTACCAGTGGATCGCCCACATTTGGGGGCCGTCCCTTCCTCCGTCGGTTACCTTTGGCACCTTCGCCCGCCAACTGACGGTCTGAATTAGGGGGACGACCCCTACGACCTTCCATCGCCAAAATACGAGGAATGACCTCCTCTTCCTTCAACAGGCTCCACTGTAAACCCTAGAGAGAAAAAAGAATAAAGATGGAGAGATTTGGAGGAGTGGCAAGACATGAAACAGTAAACAACATGTTGACATACATCATTTCATGTGACTAAGGAACAATTAAATCATCATATAGACTCATCTGTGTGTATTTAATAGGCGTTAAAGTAAGATGTTTAGATGCATTTTTTAAATGATATATCATTATATTTTTCTAAAAAGCTGGCTAAACAATGCATTATTTAGTTATTAGTTTTAGTATAGTTTTATAGTTTTTCTCTAGGCCCCTCAGCACTGTATGTATTTATGCTTAAGCCTTTTCTCTATTCTGCTTACAATAATACATCAATCTATTTTCTAATTTATCTCTGTGTATTCACAGACACATAACATGACATATATCATTGGTCACCTGTGGAAGTAATTTCAGCTGATTATTACATTTATCCATGCACAGTGAGAGGTCTATGAACTAGGACTACTGAGGGTTTTGGTTGATTCCTATCCATGCCCTGACAGTGACTGCTGCATGAAGCTTTGCCTGCCGCTAGATGAAAAGATGAACAGGGATCAGGGACAGAGAGAGAGAGAGATGAAAGGCAGTCACCTGGGGTCCTTCTCTGGCTTCATAGAAGTCACCAACCCTTATCTTTGCACTGAAGCTAAAATTATCACGCGTGATGCCACTTATTCCATTTCTGGATAGATACTACAGAAGAGAAAATAATAATGGCGTTGGTTTAGGCAGAAAAAAATGTGAAATTAGCGACATTGAAAAGCAACTGGGAGGGACTAGATTGGAGGGAGTTAGGTTACAGTGTGCATCTGTGCAGTGCTACTAATCATTATAAAAGCCAGGGGACAAAAAAAGAGCAAAAGCTCTCAGGGGAGAAAAACGGTTCTGACCTTGGGGTGCACAATTCAGGCCCTTTCTTATTTATCTGTGGCCATGCTAGGCTTTTTACTGCCTTCTGACTGACTAGCAGTGAGTGAATGAGTACACATTTTTCTCTTTGCACTACTACACTCAAAGGCAGTTGACGATTAGTGTAGTTGAGCTTTTGATGTAAACAAAGAAGATTAGAGACTATAATACACTGTACAAATGGGGCCAAAGCTGTGCATCCCAACACTAACCATTAATCATTTTTGGGGGAAAGACAGGTGAAAAAAGTGACACAAGAAGTGAATCTAAGAATATCATCTCTCACTATTAGGGTCACAGAAAGCAGGGTGGGGGTGGGGGTGGATTGCAGCTGGAGCGATAGCATAGATACAACACATCCTGATACACAAGCATTTGTTTGAGCAATGTGGGTGAGCAGTGTTGCAATTATTAGCAACAAAAATCCATAATAAATCAGAATGCCACCCACCATGATTCCCACTGTAATCCCTGTTACAAACTCAACTGCTCATCTGTATGCCTCAAAACATTTGCTACTGTATCATGGATGGAGAAAGCGCAGCAATGTGAGGCCGCGGTACCTTCATCACATCTGGGTACTGCCTTAGTTTCTTGCCACACGGGGCGTAGTAGGCCACCTCGCCCTGCGGCCGCCCAGCCACTGATTTGATTCTTGTTTCTCTCCGCCACCTGGGTTTTTAAGAATGAAAAAAATAGGCCAGTTGCTCAGAAACACAGTGTGTAGCGTACATTTGTGCTCATGCGAGGATGTGATCATGAAAATGACAAAAACTTCAACACACTCTGAAGCAAACCGCTTTATAGGAGCTTTTCTTTTTCTCTCAGCCTCTTGTACATACCCCAACTCCAGAGGTATCATCAACTCCTTCTCATCCATCACCCTCTTCCTCTTCCCTAAGCCTGTGAAGAGACAGAGTTCAACCATCAATTTGACAGAACAACTTATGACTGGGAACCTCACATATACAGTAGCAGTAGTCAAAGCTCCTGAACTCAGCAGTAATCATACCTGGCAGACAACCAAGAGCATATATCTGCACTGCCCTTTCAAGACTCAATGTACCAGCATCACATGACCACAGATATACACACACAATTCTCTGGGCTGCCATATTTATATCCTATAACAGTAGAATGAACATCACATGGTACTGTCTGATGAACAGTGTGCATTAAAAAAGCAGGGGGAAGACTGGAATGTCTGCTTGGTACATTCCTGGCAAGCTACACATATGTCCTATTTTCTCTGATCTGGGTAATCACTCCACATTGAAACAGGGTGGAAATTAACCTCATTGCCGTGCCAAACAAGTTGTCAGGGCTCTTAGGCATGTACCTACAGGACCTCAGAGCTCTAGTTAGGCCATGACAAACAGCTTTCTTCCTTCCTCCCTAAAAGTAACAATCCCTCTTCACTGTCATGTGAGGATGATGGGTTTTTCTTGGTTTGGTAAATAAAACATGGTCTCGGTTGTATACAATAGCTTTTTTGTGGCAAATGTATATGTGTGATAAAATTAAACATCTGCTGTTCACAATAAAACACTGAAAGGGCAGGAGTAGCAGAAAATGTTACATGTAGCCATTTTTTTCTGCACATCAAAAACAAAACATTGTTTTCAAAACTTGTTTTTTAATATGAGATTCTATTAAAACTACCTTTCATCGTTCATTTTCACATTTTCTGTGTACGGATTCTCATTCTCACATTACCTAATGGAGAGGCTAGGCTGTAAGAGGAAGAGCCTGGAGAGCTGTGATAGGCCAAGGCACTGGAGCTGGTGACAATGGTGGGGGTCTTGATGACCTGTAGGTTGAGAGGGGAGCAGCTGGTGGCGGTGTGATTGGTTGAGGTGTTCAGTAGTTCTGGGCCTTTGGTTAGCCTGCGGGGAGTCATCTCCTTCTTAGATGATCCAGACGGCAGCAGCTTTAACTCCTTCACTTTCTTCCCAGAGATGTCACTGTCTGAGTTGCTGTCAGACTCTGAAATAAAAGTCCAGGACAAAAAGTGGGTAAGGAGCTGAGAGTTCAAAATCAATGAGGCGTCAATTCACTACAATAAATTGCAATTAAATGAATGCTTTTTTGTATGCCTCTAAGATTTCAAATGGATTTCTTAAATAACTTGAGCTGATAGAACTTTATGTTAATCTGAGCTGAAACAATTGGTCAATTAATGGATTACTCAATCTACAGAAAGAACACTGTTGTAAATTATTTTCAGACAAAAACACAGAACATTCATGTTCCAGCCTGTCTGATGTGAGGATTTGCTGCTTTTCTTTGTCTTATGTGATAGTAAACAGAATATTTTTAGGTTTTGGACCACTGGGCCAGGCATATCAAGGCATTCACTGTGACGGCCATTGTTCACAAGTTTGACATTTTATAGCTTGAATGATTAATTAACTAATCGTTATTCATTAATAAATTGTGAAGGTTACAAGAAGGTACAAACCTGACAGACTATCATCTGAGTCCTCTTCATCCTCCTCCTCCTCCTCCTCAAGGTCGTCATCCTCATCATCATCATCATCTCCGGAGTCGTCAGATTCCTTGTTAGCAGGGAGACCAGCTGTGGGGTTACAGGTCCCAGGGATCCCCACTCCAGGAATTCCTACTCCAGGGATACTTACTCCAGGAATGCCAATCCCGGACTCTCCTGCACGAAACAAATCTACTAGTGACTGTACCAGGTGGTTCTGAGAGAAGCCCTTCCAGGCAGCTAAAGGGTCTGCTTGTCCCTGTCCCTGTACCAACCCTGGTGTCTGTCCCTTACCCTTGGGGGTCTTGTTCTTTCTGGATCCATGGCCTGTGGCATGGGGTGAGGTAGTGCGGGGCTGCGATGGAGCACCGGCCTGGGCGGTTGCTTGGGTCCTGCTTGCCCCTGTGCTCAGATTGACAGGCATCGACCCAGCATCAGAGTCGCACTGAGGGGACTTGCCTTGAGAGGCAGAGTCTTTGCGAGGTTTGGTGATGAGGGCCAAAGGTGCGTCCTGAGTGGTGCTTTGGATGACTCCATTGGGGTGGTGGGGTTCAGGGAGACCCAGCAGGGCACTCGAGAGGAAGAGGTTGGAGTGATTGTTCTGGGGTGGAGGAGGCGGAACGGGTGGCAATGGCGATGAAGATAGAGACGTCCTCTTGTGAGACTTGTTTGGCCCCTGCTGCCGCTTCTTTAGCTCAGCTGGGAACGTCTGCCCTTGGGACATGAGAGTCTGGGAGTAAAGGAGGAGGACAGAGGGAGGGAACGAGGAGAGGCAGCCAGGGAGTCAGGGGGAGGGAGGGAGAGGGAATGGCAGAATGGGAGGAACAAAGAAAGGTTTGGAAAAAATTAGAAAAGAAATAGGACAAAGTAGAGTTGCTCTAGCTGTCAGTTTGCATCACTGTTGATTGTTTGAGCAGGTGACAAAACTACAATGCTGAACACTGGTACAGTTAACTGTGTCTAAGCCCCTTTCTGAGAAACAAAAAGAACATAAATGCAATAACTAAAGGCATTGTACTGGGCCAAGTTCACAAAAAGAAACACTGAGTATCTCTCTAGAATTATAATTACTTGTCTGCACATTTGAAAAGCTCCATCATCATTATCATCATGCAGCTGGGCATGTTTGCCTCTTTTACACTGATGACAAGTTTGGTTCAATCTGTGTTTAAGCAAAGGCAGGTTAGACTTTAACGTTGCACTTTCAACTGGATGTGATATGAAGTGAAACAAATCAATTTCACAGACCATGAAATACAGTAACAGTGCTGAAACCACGGGGGGAATTTAGCTTGTTGTAAACTTCCCTATACTGGTAAAACAGGAAAGGGGAAATGATTTTCAGAGAATAAGCTGATCTCCAAAGGTTTAGCTTATTGATTATTGTGCTATCATTCATATTTCATTTGAGGAAATGGAATTTGTGCAGCAAAAGCAAAGATAAATGTCAATTTTTACCATTTTACCATTCCATCTCAACCGATTGAAAAACATAAATAATACAGTAGCATGTGTGCAGACCAAAAGTGTGCTTCAGAATGGTAATAAAGTAAAAGCATTAACCATTTTATCGACAGGTTAATCAGTAGTAGAGCAACTGTAACCACTGTATACCAATTAAAAGCTGTTAATACATAAAACACAGACAACCATGTCAACACATAGATAATAGAGCTTAATGAGCTATTTATGAAAGGAAGCTTGAACTTGATACAACATATTCAGCGTGTAGCAGCTTTAAGGTTAAACTACCAGCTGAGGCAGTGTGATGACCAATTAAATCCACAAGAGTAAGATGTAGGAGAGTGTAGGAGAACTTGAGCAATAACCCCCCCCCCCAAAAAAAAAACTGGCTAATAGCTTACACTGTCAAATCAAATAAGCCAATACAGGACACACTCCGGGAAAAAACCTTAACCTATGTAAGTACTAAATGAAATTGAGAAGATACTACACTTCCTTGTGCAGGAGAATAAGGACCTACTGCAAGGACAGAGGAAATCAGTGAGAAATGGTTGCAGAGTGCATGTTTTGAACATCCCTAGTGTTCATTACACATTATGAATTACCTATCTGTATAAATATAGTTATGAACTACAGTACAAAAGGACAAAACTATCACCTATTCTAAACGCTTAGCACAGAAACTCAAGACTAGAAACATGTCTTGGTAATAACTATTAACATACTGTATCTAAATGTCTTAGATGTGTACTTGTTTTTTTATGTCAAATCCCAGTACCATACAAGTTTACTTTAATAAGTACTGCCTCCTAAATCAACTAGACCAAACAAAGATCCTCTCGGATGTCCAACTACAACTTCAGAGTTCGCTTAATGCCATGCAATTTTGAGAGGCCCTTTGGAACATGTTTCTCTCCGATTCAAAATCCCATCCTTTTCTGAATGAGAAGCTGCAACAGCCAATGTTATGATTTCATTTTTTAAATTGTGTGTGCAGCCTCACCAGTAGTTGTAGCTGTCTGTGAGCTGCTTGGATCTTGTGTTGAATAAATGTGGTAAATGGCCACTAGATTAAACGAGGTGCTGGTTATGGTGTAGTAATGATGAAGAAAAAGAGAGAAACTGCAAATGTAACTGCACCCTCAGCTCCAGTGGATAAATTCATTACTGTCAATTTGTTAGGAATAACTTTATTAACTAAAGCTCACTGTGAAGCTATATAGATATCTCAGGATACTGTGTATATGCAGAGAAAGTAATGTGTGTCATTGTGTGGATATGGTGAAAAAGGACATTGTTTAACTGCTGTCATCAGGTTGGCTTACCTGTTTGAGCCTGAACTCATTGATCTGCGCAAGTGAAGCTTCCAGCTGTTTCCTTTTGTTGGATTTGGCAGAGCCAGGAACACTGTGCCGAGGTGGCTTCAGCAAGGACCTCTGGGAGCTTGTTACAGATGAGGCCAAACCAAAAGGTTTTGGGGAGGTAGACGGCGGAAGGGTTGAACGGGGTGGAGAGGGGACGGAGAGAGGCTTAGGGGAAGAGCAGAGGGAGAGGGGCAGGTGCTGGGGGGAGGAGGAGGGCAGCAAGTTGGGAGGTTTGGGAGAGGCAGTGCTAGAGAGTGCCTTTGGGGATGTGGTGAGGGCTATGGGGGAGGAAGAAGGTGAAGTCTCCCTACGGGACTGAGTGAGGAGTGCCAGGGGCTTTGAGTTGGCAGCCAGGCCAGTGGACTGGATCACACTGAAGTGTTGCTGTGGCCCCTCTGACCGAGGCCTGGAGCTGTGCAAGGCCGGCGGGGAGGTTTGGGACAAAGCAGGAGGGGAGACAGAGCAGGGTAGAGGTACAAGGGTTGGGGGGTTGGATGGGACCTTCTTGCCCTGGGGTTCCCCAGAGAGTGGTCTGTCTGTCTTTGCAGTTCCAGTGCTGGGTATCAAAACCTGGAGAGGAAATGAAATAAAGAACTGTTAAAACAACGAATAGTCTCATGGGGTGACCCGGTAGCTCACCTGGTTGAGCATGTGCCCCATGTACTAAGGTTGGATTTCAACCCCTTTGCTCCATGTCATTCCCCCTCTCACTCACCACATTCCTGTCACTATTCAGCTGCTCTATTAAAATAAGGGCAATAAAAAGCCCCACAAATAATAAAAAAAACAACAGTCTCATGGTATGATCATTTATTTGAATTGATTCCACATTTTGGGAACTTTGTTAGTGAATAAAGTTATTGGGCACCAAGTGCAATAATTATTTACTGTTCTTCTTTACCTTTGTTTTCTTCTTTGTCCGCTTCTCAGAGTCTGATAATTCACTCTGTTTGTCCTCTTCCTCGTCATCCTCATCGTCATCATCATCGTCTTCATCATCCTCTGCAAGGTCTTCCAGATCGCTGCTGAGGGACCCGTCACTTGAGCTGTCTGAGGATGTGCCTGATTCGCTGTTGCTCGCCACACAAGTGTCTGCTGGCTTCTTTCGTGGCTTCTGAGTTGAGAGAAAAAACTGCAGGAATCAGCTTCACTGTATAATGCATAACTCATGCATTTCATATGACACTTCTTTTCAAACTGGGGAGTAACTGAAATCTCAGGACCGACCTTCTCTTTAGTTTTCTGGATCGGCTTTTCCACCAACTCTGCTGGATTGTTCTGAGGGCTGCTACGGTGACTGTTTGAGGGGTCTGCATTTTTGGTTGGCTTTGTCGATGCCTGAACAAGAGCGGGACTCACAGAAAAGCTCTCTGATTGTGTGGTGGGAGGACAGACGCCGCTGCCATTCACTGCTCCATTCACCCCTAGAAACACAAAACAGATCTACTATATTACTAATCAGCTCCATCTTTTCTGAAAACTTTGCTACACAGGATAATGAAATATCTGGAACTAACTGCAGAGTGGAATAAAGCTAATAAAAATATTGATTTATACATGTATCTCATCAAACATGCTGGCTGCGCGAGGCACAAGCCCAACATGAGTGGTTTACATAATAAAAGATAAATTAAAAGATACTGTGAAATTAAAAGAGTGCAAGAAACAGAGATTACGAGAGGGAACACGAGAGAAAGAAGGGGAGAGAGAGGTTGACAGAATCACTAAGTGAGGACTGAAAGTCATTAAATCCGTCTTGAAAAGAAAAAATCTCATCATAGAACAAAGTGGATTTAGGTTGTGGAAGAAGAAGACACACAGATAGAAATAGTGGCAGAGGAGAGATAGAGGTTAGGTTGTTTATTTTCAGCGTGAAGTGCCATTACCTCGTGGAAAAGTAATTAATTCACATACTTTAACACTCACATAACACATGATAGGGAAATGTTGAGAACTATATGGATATGATGAAGTTTCATTTACAGTGAATCAAATTCAAATGATTTATTGTCACCTGCTACACTCCTATAATTCTATAATAATAATAACTGTGTACACAATGTAACTGTGATATTTCAACGAATTGGTCTTCTGGATGAGTGCTGTACCTTTAGGTAGGGCATGGCTATTCTTGCTGGGCATCCTGATCTGAACAGGACTGGCGCTGTGGTTGGGCTGAATGTGAGGGGCGAAGAATGGAGGGAAGCTGATGAAAGAGGGGAGAAAGGCAGCAGCTCCCCGTCCGTGGGCTTCAGCAGCTCGCCACCACTCTGTTGGAGAGGAGAGGAGAGAAGAGAAGAGGATTAAAGATGCATTCTAATTTAGTCAATTGCTGCCCAAAACTCAAGTCCCTGTCTTACCAGAGAGAGCTCCTAGCTGGGGGTGAGCAGCCAGAGCCGCTGACATGCCCAGGGAACCCAGGCCTCCAAACTCAGGCCTGCCTGCCCCGGCAGTATAGATGGCTCCGAAGGCTGGGTGGTTGACCAGAGGGAAGGCACTTGACAATGTGGAGCTAATGAAGGGCTGCTCTCCTGCTGCTCCAAACAGACGGCCTGAGACAAATCCAAACCAAGGAGAATGTGTTTCCAAATGCAATCCATAACAAATAGTTTCTAACACCGGCCGATGACATAACATAACAAGTGGAGATATGTTCTCAATTTTTCACTGATAACATTTTAATAAAACACACTATCTCTTCTGTTCTGTTAAAAGGAGAAATGATGCTGTTTGGAGAATTTTTGACATTTTAGCCTTTCCACCAGATCTTCAAACACAAAAAATAAAGACCTTCTTCTTTGAACTAAATAAGATGCTGATGCGTGTTTTAGTATATTGACAAAAATCGCACATTGTTTTGTTGATAGTTGTGGTGTTTAATGGCATTTTGTTGTTTTAAGCTTCTGTTTCACTTTCAGATACTGACTAAACAGTCCTATATCACAGGATTAAAAGATGAATTCCATACAGGAGGTGAATTTTGCTTTGAACTCTTGTGTCTAAAAATAATCAGTTCTGACTCAATTTTACTATTTGCACATACTTAACAAATCTGTCTTTCCCTAAACTGCAATTTTTACATTAGGGTACAGCTTTTATGACAGTTGTTTATTGCACCTTTAGCACAACTGATTGCCCTACTGTTAGTTTTGTATATGTTTATTTGTGCAGACCGAGAACATTTTCTCAAATTACCACACTGAGCTTTTTTCATGTAAGGACCGACAGGGTGTAAAAACTAGATTTAAACAGCTTTTGAAGGTGTTGCTTCTTATCCACCTGACTATAGAAGAATTAAATACAGAACGACTGTCTTCTATTTGTGTAAGAATTAGCTTCAGATTTAGCTTTCACTAAGTGCACACTGCACCTAATTTTAAAAGGCAGCCGTACTATTTCTGAGCATGACAGACTGACTATTTCTTCAGCATGATCCTTATTCCTATACAGTAAAACATTCACATTTAAATTACAGAGTATTTTGTCATAATCCAATTTCAGGAAAGAACTATTTGTGTATTGATTTTTCTTCAGTTTAGAGTGTCAGAAAATGCTGCGCTGTGACAAAGACTGGATATTGTCGGTGAGAAAAGAAGTGTGTGTACCTCCTTCTATCCTTTTGGCATTCAATTTCAGCACAGAAGAATACTTCATCAACATCATCATCGTCTAGCATTTTCCTGAGCACAATCATTTCTGGCAGGGGCGACTGCCACGTATTACCTCCTCCCAGAGTCAGATGCAATTTGGTGTGAGCATATTTCATGCAAATTCAATTTCTATTCCAGAAAAGGAGAGCAAGCCTGCTTGATGCCTCCGCATAAGCCAGGTAATACACATGCAAAAAAGTGATGACTGAAGAAAAGGAAAGTGTTGTACACAGTGCAGATGAAAATGTCAAACTACTATACACTTGCACACACCACAGAAATGTAAAACAGAATGACACTGGAGCATAGTGTTTTCTGAACTAATGCAGTCTGCGATCTAATTATCCGGAGGGAGATATAGTAGGGCCAGTTATGTGTGCTCTGTACCAAAACACAGAGGAAGATGGTAAATGAACGTGATTCCACAGTTACATCTCAGAGACTGTTTCTAAGTGAGAATCAAACTGTTTGTGGTTATGTGGCGAGAAACAAAGACTCACCAGCATGCTAGCGGTGTGAGAGTATAGCCCTTTGTGTTGGCTTCAAGGCCCCTCTCTACAACAAGACAGCAAAATCTGCCTTTTGAATGTCATTAGAATATGCTGAATATGTAGAGCCTGCCTTGCCAGCGTCAGCTAGTGGATACGAAGATAAACGACTGCAACGCAACCCCGAGAAAGGCCAGCCACAGCATTCACTTACGCCTGGGGTGCCCACCTCTCCCCCACACACCCCTTTCGAGGCATCTGCAAATGCCTTTTCAATATTAATGCAGGCTTCCAGAAGGCGAATAATTAAATCTAAAAATTTGAAAAGAGACAGAAGCACAGGAAAGACATACCTAGGATTACCTACTCTCTCTTCTTCACTCTGTGTTTCTGTCTCTCTCTTGCTCCCTCGCCCTCTTTCTCATTCTGTTTCAATCCTTCCTCCACTCTGACAAACTGCACCGCCTGCTTTTTTCATGTTTGGATGCTGCCGAAGGGGGATTAATTTGTTGTTTGTTGCAGTCAATCAAATTTCCACAGACAGATTTAAGTTAATTGCATCCGTGAGTTGATCCCCGAAGAAGAGAGTGCTACAAGCGCCGATCAGCTTTTATTCTCCAAGTGATATCCTCATCAATGACAGACCCGTGCACACACACACACGCACGCACACACACACACACATATATATAAACAGAGTCTGTGCTCATTTTTATGTTCCTAATATTTTTTTCTTAAGTGTTATTGGCACATTGGCAAAGGACCTTGAATCAATGCCTGCACAGCCTGTGATGATATTATATCTCTGCAATACATAATTACTGATGTTACCTGCGTACACAATACCCTTGACATATTCTTGTTGTACTGGTTGAGAATGTTTTTCCTTTTAATTATGATACTTGGATGTGGGAAAGAGACAAAGTGGACTTTTTTGGCTTATATATATGTTTGACTTTCGGACCAGACAACGAACAAGACATTGTATGAAATGAAAAAGAATTGGCTTGCTCGATTCCCACAAAGCGTAGCATAAGTTCAGAGCTAACAGTCTGCCTCTCAGCATTTCATTTGACGTTCAGTCCAAAATCGCTTATCTAGAAAATCTGAGCACACGTAATGGCACAGAGGGATAAGAGGGATGTATAATGCATAAGGAGGAGATGCTCCTAATGGCTTCTTCTTTGGGGCAACACTGAGGAGATGGAGGACATTGTTTTGAGCTTTATTTTGCTCTTTGCCTCTTCTTGTAACAGACAGAAAAGACAACAATCACGGAGAAAGCTGGATGCTATTCCCTGCTCTGTGCAATCTTGGTTTATGTGTGTGTATGTGTGTGTGTGTGTGTGTGTGGTATGCCTATGAAAAAACAGCAAGACATTAAGAAATGAGAAGAAAGAGAGTATGAGCAAATGATTCACTCACTCTCACAAGGGATGTTTGAGAAACACACAGAGATACAAACGCACGCACACACACACTCACACCAAATATACACACTGCTCTTTGCCTAATGGCTTTGACCAATACATAGAAAGGAGGCTGGATGCCGGACAGGGCTGACTAGACACTGAGTGGCTGACAAATGTTAAATCATGCAGGCAGAGTCTCTCTCTCTCTCTCTCT